ATTAGGACCACAGTGTATTGATGTGTGCATACCCTTTCTGTTAGATCCCCCAAGCCCATTGTGAAGCCCTAAGATGGAGATTGTTAAAATCTAATTTTCAGAGAGTTGAAAGTATGACTCTCAATACAAATATAAAGTGAACACATGTCAGAGATTGTTATTCAACTTAATTAATGAGGGAACCCATAAGATGTTCAGACTAAATCAAAAGAGAATTCAAGGAAGGGAGATTTCTAGTTGGCCAGTCAAAGGAATGCTGAAATCAGTTATCTAATATATTCAAAATTGGTTAATGTTTTCCAAGGCAGTAAACTCTGACCTTTCGGGGTTATCTTTTCTACCAGACAGAAATCAGTTGTGTTGCTGTTGGATAAGAATCAGACACATTGCTCTCACTGAGAATCATGTCCATTGTTGTTGGTTTTCTGCAAGTTGTAGAAACTCCTAGAGTTATAAAATATCCTAATCATGAGAAGTCAAACGAAGGTATCCACCCTGGAAAATCAGTTAATCCCTAAGCATGGTGAGTCTACTGATCTACACCCTGCATAACAGTGAAAGGACACCCAGTATTTCATTGGCCCATTTCCAAATTTTGGATAATTTTTCCTAACAATACTCTGTGTGTGTGTGTGTGTGTGTGTGTGTGTGTGTGTGTGTGTGCGTGTGCGCACGCACAACACATTTTCTGGGTATGTTTTTGTTCAGGTATTGGAAGGGAGTTCAGTCACACAATAATAAAATGGACTGTGACAGGTCTATGAGAAGTTTTGGAGACACTGGGAAAACCCCTAATGATCAGGATAATTTCACCAAAATAGATGTAGTCGTCTTACTAGATGAAGGCAAAGGGATCACTTTAGAAATCAGATAAAGGAACTGTCAGGATCACTGGCTCACGGGCAGGAATGGGTCTTCTCCATTCTGCCTCTCATATTGGCAAGAGCCTTCCTGGGGGCACTGCAGGAAGAGGAGGTCGGCCTGGCGGAGGCCAGGAAGGCTGAGATGGGGCAGCCTGAGTTTTGCTTCCTGGCTGGGCTTTGCCAGGCCATTTGGTCTCACTGGTTGTGCTCCTCTACCCAGGTTTTTCTCTGTTCTCTGGCAATATGAAGACTGTTCACATTTGGATGGTGTGTTGTAATGTACCAAGTGCTTCTCCTTTGCACGAATGCTGTGAGATAGACCTGTCACTTCGTAGAGGTTCACTGAGTTGCTCAAGGTCATGACATGGCTAGTAAGAACATTCAGAGTTCAAATACAGGCCTTCCATTTCCAATACCATGATCTTCCATCTTCTATCAGCCAGCCTTTGCTAACGATCCTGCGGTTCTCCCTGGAGCACTGGATCCCAAGATATATGTATTGGGAAGCTTGAGAAGATTTCCGATCTGTTTTCTCCTGGCAGGCCAGCGCATGCTGCTATGCAGGCACCTTCCCCCCATTCTCCCAACCGTCCTCATTCTCCTGCCTCCCCCAGACAGTCCAGGTTTGGTAAATGTCTGTGTTATGGTTAGGGTGTGTTTGTGTCACCTGAGGGTGATAACACGGGCATTTGAGAATGTTAGGAAGGATGGGGCAGGCAGCGGCCTTGTCAGGCCAAATCTGGTGCTAATACCTTTGTCTCTCTGTTTCAGGGCCCAACATCTGTGCCACACGAGGAGTGAGCTCCTGCCAGCAGTGTCTAGCTGTGAGTCCTATGTGTGCCTGGTGCTCAGATGAGGTAGGAACAGACATCTGACCTTGCTTCTTCCCCAGACTTGGCTGCCCTTCTGCAGGAATGGACCACAGGGACATCTCCTCCCTCCTAAGTACACAAGCCCCTTGTCCCTTCTGAGCAAAACTAGGGTGAAGCCTTCTCACTGACGCTGCCAAAGTGAGCTGTCATGAGACTGTTGCTGGGAATGCCCTCAGAGTCTACCATGTGGCCCTGGCTCTAGCCAGTTTGGCCTCCTGGTTTTCCTGTAGCCATTGCCACCTTTACCACACTTTGCTTGCTTTTTGTTGGGGTGGAACAAACAGAGACTCATATCTTCAAAACAGAGATAGGAAAGGCAGGAGAGGGTCATAGGTATGGAGGGGATGCTGGCTTACAAACATCCGAGAAGTTTTCAAAGATAAATAAAAGAGGGATCTTGGACTTGAGTGGGGGATGTGTAGTCAGAGGATCTTCTCCCTTTTCCTCTGATGATCGGGCCCCACGGCCTTACCTTCCCCTCTCTCTCCTTTCCCTCCTTCCTTCCCTCTCCTAGGTGTCAATGAGGGAAGCTGCTGAGCCGATCTGGTGAGGATGGGAGAGCGACAGGAAAGGGTTAGCTGTGTCTAGGCAAGGGTTTGTTGTGTCTGGGGCCCTGGGGAATGAGTGTGTCTGAGGGGATGGCTGTGTTTGTGGCTGGGATGGGAATTTGGAGCTGGCAAGACTTGGGTGGCGGGGGGAGGTGAGTGTGGCTGGAAAGCTTCCAGTGACTGCAGGGGCCGCGGCTGAGTCATTCACCTGGCCTCCAGCAGGGGCTCACCTGAACTCCCGGCCTGGCCGCATCTCAGCCACCCGAAGCGCCCCCTCTGTCATGACAGCATGTCCTTGTCCTCTGCAGTTTTATAATAGCTCTGACCCAGTCCCTCATTCTCAGTGTTTCTTCCTGATCTGCTGAGTTTCCTAAAAAGGCAACCTCCCTGGCAGCCTTGCGGGAGGAGCGTGTGTATGTGTGGGAGCTGCGAGGCTGTGTTTATCCCTAGACAGGAGAACTGCCAGGACTGCAGGGACCAGCCCAACACTGCTTTGGCCTCGGTGCAGTTAAACACGGCAACTGCCTGAGCTGCCCAACATCTGGGCCACACTGACCTCATTAGCAAATGAAACACTCCCTGGGGCTAGGAGTGGGGAGGAGGAGGGGTGGGCCTGGCCCCTCCACCCCCACCAGTTCTCCACCCTCTGGGCTGAGCTGGCCGCTCAAGTGTGATGTGGCCTCCTCCCTTCTCATTTGCCATATCCTCCTTCCTGGGTTGCTATCATAGTATTATTAAGCTTCTCTTATAAGGGAGCTGCAATTCTGAAACCGAGTTTTGAAGAAGGGAGAGCCATGGAGAGGGGGCCTCATTGGATTGGCAGGTCTGAAGCTGGCTGGAGCTGAAAGGAAGCCAGGGGGAAAGCCTGGTGCCACTCACAGGATGCCCCCACCCCCCCGGTCCTCCTCCGTCCTTTTCAACCTAAAGCAAGAGAAAAATGTAGGCACCTGTGGCCCCGAGGAGTCGGTGGGGGGGAAGGGGGGAGAAAATGCACTCTTGGAGTGCCTGTCACATGTCTTCCTCTGTGTAGAGACAAGCCATGTAGCTGAGGTCTGCTGAGGCCTGACCAGATAAGGCTCTTAGGTCCATGACTGTATTTTAGAGATGCAATTGTAGAATATTATGCACGATTGTGGTGAATTTTGTCTCCTGGGGCAGACCAGGGTTGGGCAGGGGAGACGGTGCAGGGCTACCCCTGCACAGGTCAAGTTTACCTGCTGAAAGTGTCTTGGCAGTTGACTTAAAAAACCAAAAATGAATCATCTGAGACTTTTTGTATGTAATTTGTTGAATACTTGATCCTGAAGAGCCCTCTGCCTCCCCTACCTTGACTATTGCAGGCAGGGGTGGCAGTGCCTGGAAAAACAACTGGTTGGGCTCAGCTTTCTCTTGGGGCTGGAGGACAGCAGTCCTGGGTGTGTATAGCAAGCACTTGGCCTGGTAATAGGAAAACATAGCCAACATGGATGAGTGCAGAGTTTTGTTCCATCAGCAAAGGGTGTGTTCTTGGGGGGTTGGATACTGATACGGGTGGTGTGCTGTCTCTGGACTGTGAATCTAGCAAAGAGGACAGCCTCACGTAGAAATTCAACTTGTGGTCTTGGCCTCAGTGGTGATATGTTGGACTCTAGTATCTCCCAGACTTGCCTGGTGAGAATCTTTTGGGGTGCTTATTAAATATAAAACTTCTCAGGATGGACCCTGGACCTATTGCATCAGAATGGGTTGTTATGATAGCATGTTTGGTAAATACCGTTAATCAAAGGGGCTGATCATTGGGGTCATGGTGGCTAGAGGTGGAGTTTTTTTATGACTTACATCACTTGGTATAATACCCTCTAGGTCTGGCCAGATAAAATACAGGACACCCAGTTAAATCTGAATTCAGTAGCAATTAATTTTTATATAAGTATGTCCTAAATGTTTGCTGAATTTGGCAACCCTAAGGTAGAGGGAAATACTAGGAATTATTTAATACCTCAGAAGGTATACTATCTCATACTCAGCCTGACATCCAAGAATGAAAGAAGAATGTGTTTGGGTCTTCAGGGAAATTTTGGGCCACTATATATATATATTTTTTTTTTTTTAAATTGAAGTATAGATGATATACAATATTATATTGGTTTCAGGTATACAACATAGTGATTCAACAATTATATACATTATGAAATGCTCCCCACTGTAAGTGTAGTTACCATCTGTCACCATACAAAGTTAATACAAAATTATAGACTATTCTCCCTATGCTGTATTTTTCATCTCTGTGACTTATTTATTTTATAATTGGAGATTTGTACCCCTTTATCCCCTTCACCCATTTTGCCTGTACCCCCATTTACTCCCCCGTGGCAACCACCAGTTTGTTCTCTGTATTTATGAGTCTATTTCTGTTCCTTTTTTAATTTTCCACATGTGTGAAATCATATGGTATTTTTTTTATGACTTATATCACTTGGTATAATACCCTCTAGGTCTGTCCATGTTGTCACAAATGGCAAAAGTTTCATTCTTTTTTATGGCTGAGTAATATTCCATTCACACACACACACACACACACACACACACACACACACACACCACATCTTTATCCATTCATTTCTATGTTGACTTCAGACAACTAGTTAATTCCTATTTAGTCTCTAACAATTTTATTTTTAACCTCTCTGCTGCATTTTCTTTTCTTTTTTAAATCTGAAGGATGAATGTTTATCTTGAGTGTTTTGCTCCAATTTATTGTAAAAAAAGTATAATATTAAGTGTTCCACCCCCTGTAAACAATGGATATGAATACTAAGAACCACAAATTAAAATGCTTTCCTTTTCCTCTTCTTTCTGTTCCTTTTCCTCTCCTTTCTGTCCCCTCCATACTTCTGTCTCTGTATGTCCAAGTGAATTCTTGTTCTCACCAGATGCCAATCAAAAGAACAATGTTAATTTATTTGGATTGGAGGCATTTGTTAGCTCTCTGGGAAAATGAAATACCAGGGCATATTGTCCCTTGTCCTTTAAGGAAAGAGTATAAAATAATAGTAGTAGTTATAACAGTAATAGAAGGAGAGAGTTACTTTCTATTTGCATTTATTTATTTATATCATATCAGAAAGATTTGAATATATTTGACTTATATTGAGATTTTTGTATTTTGAAAGCATTTCATGTTCATGGTCTTATTTTATCCCCTGACCAACTGTGTGAGTTAGGTAAGATAATGACAGTTATTCTTGCTGTACTTTCCCAACTTCCAAAATGGGATTAATGGAGGATGGGACTAATAGTATGTGTCACTCTCCCAGGAGAGGGAGAGAATTCAGCTCACACAGCACGTGGGCTGGAACCTCCCACCTCTGTGCTCAGAATGTTCCCCTGGGTCTTGGTTATTTTTGCCCTTTCTGTGTAACATCCGGTTTCACCGGAAACTGAAACTTTAATATTCCTCCTCCCTGCTTCCAGTTTTCTCTGAGTAACCTGGAGATATTCCTTCTACCTTCTCAGCCTGGGCTATTAGCATAGGGCATGTTGCCCAAGTGTGTGAGGGCATTGCCGTGGTAACCTGCCGGGTCATGAGGTTCTCAAGGAGATCAGGGCTGAGCAGCAGGCCTGTTATGTTCTTGACCTCTGATGTCAGTGACCACAAAAGGAGGGAGGGAGACAGTTGTTTCCTAAGTGTTTATATTTCTAAGGAAATTCATAACAAACCATAAAGACTGTCATCAAGGCTTAGCACTTCAAACCTTCTTCTAAATAAGCATTGTCATGTTAGAAAATGGGGGTCAGGAAAGCCCCATCTAAAACTTCCTCTCCTTTTGCTGATGCAGCTTCAATATGCACGACAGCTCGCTGTTCTCATCAGTCTCACAGTACCCCCTGCCTCTCTCCATCAGCACGTGGCTCAGTCCTGGAAAAGATAAGCTTCTCCGCACTGTCCCGCGGCTTGTTCTGTCCAAGTCACTGCCTTTTTTGGAAGGCTTTCTCCTTGGGGCTTTGTGGGCAGCTGGAGTTAGAGAGAAGGTAGGGAGTGTTTTGAGCAAGAAAGAGACTGCTTCCTGGAGGAAAGGTGGAGAGATGGGCAGAGGCAGCAAGAGGAGTTTGGGCACAAAACAGCCAAGGGCTCACAGCACTTCTGTCCTCAGCCAGAGCGGGGTGTGGGAGGGGATTTGCTCTCTCGGACTTGGAGGATTTATTGTGTCCCTGTTGGAATCTTTTGAGCCAGGAAGATTAAGTCTTATGCACTGTGTCCCATTACTGATCTACTTCATACCTGTGAAGCTGAGAGACAAAGAAGGAGGCTGCTGGCTTCTAGAAGCTTTCTACTTTCCGCCTGGGCCAAGTGGTCCTCATGCTGTTTGTCACAGTTCATTCAGGCTGCCATAACAAAACACCATAGACTGGGTGGCTTGATAACTAACAATTATTTCTCATAGTTCTGGAGGCTGGGAAGTCCAAGGTCAAGGTACCAGCAAATTCTGTCGTAGATGGCCATCTTATCATTGTGTCCTCACATGGCAGAAGGGCCAGGGAGCTCTCTGGGCCCTCTTTAATAAGGGCACGAATCCCATTCATGAGGGCTCTGCCCCATGACCTAATCACCTCCTAGGCCCCGCCTCTTGAGACCACCACTTTGCTGGGTAGGGTTTAACATATGAATTCTGGAGGGTTACAGACATTCAGCCCATAACACTGCTCATGTTCTCATCCATGTGGGGAAGCCCTTCAGCCTCTCAAGAGGAGGGCTAGGCGGGAGAGCGGAAGAGGCTTCGAGCAGGAGCCTCATTCAGGCTACAGTTCTGATCCTTTGAGTACCGATGGTCCCTTGTGGCCCAGCCCTTCTCCTGGAGCTCTGATGACCAGGCACCTGAGGGAGCCGGAGAGGCCGTGTTCTCCCTCCTCCCCACACCTCCCCATCTCGCCTCCTGTTCCCTGCAGGGGCATTTTCAGCTGTGGCTCTTCCTGGGACCATCGCTTCTACACACTTGGTTCCCCACTTTGGGTCTCACTCTACAGAATGTAATAAACTTATCATCTTATGAGGATAATTACAGTCAGACAATCTAGTTAGCATCTCACTTCTGTCACTTCCTAGTTCTGTAACTTGGGGTGAGTTACTTCGATTTCTTACCTTTAAGACTGGGTTCCTTATTTGTGAGGCCTCCAAGCTTCAGGTTCCTCACTGACAAAGCAGTAGTAGTTCCAATGTTATAGAGCCGTGTCAGGAGGATTACAATGATCCATGTAAAGTGTTTTGTCACAATGCGGACATGCTGTCAGAGCTCAATAAATGTTGGCACTAGTTGTTCCGGGATATTGGTATGGGTTTTTCAGCTGACTTCTGGAAGTGGTTGTGAGAGGGAGTGGGCAGGGATGTGGGGCCCTGAGGGCTTGAAAGCCTAGATATTATGAAATACATCCAGGGAGGGGTTTTCCAGCTTTCCAGACAGTCCCTGCAGCCTGGCACGGAGCCTCATGGGCTTGTGCCCACACAACACTGGATAAATTTGCCAAATGTCAGAGCAGGAAGGGACTGAAAGCACCATGTCATCTAACCCCTTTATTGGACAGGTGAGGAAACTGAGGCTCAAAGGAGTGAAATGACTCTCAGAGGTCACATGGCTAATTGGTGGCTGACCTGGAATTGAACCTGTTTCCTGATTTCCAGTGTTCTTTCCAGTACATTGTGTCCCCCACTGAGTACCTAGGTATGAACACACACAGAGCACCAGAGGACAGTGGGATACACACCAGGGTTTTGGGAAGAGTACTAAATTTGCCCTTTGTCCAGGGTGAGGAGGAAACTTAAAGTGACAGGACTGGCTCTGGTCAGTGGCCTGGCATCATGGGATTAACCCAAGCTTGTTATTCATAATTTATTTATCTAGGAATGATTTATAGAGCATCCCTAATAATTGCTAACACTTACTGAGCACTTACCCTGTGGCAGGCACCATGCTATGTGCTTGACATGTATTGTCTTATTTAGTCCTGCGTAACATCCCTGAGGGTGGGGCTATTATCTTCATATTACAGGTGAGGAAACAGGTGTGGAGCGTTTGGATGACTCACCATAGTAACGAACTAGTCAGAGATGATGCTGAGTCATCTCGGCCAATGTGCTCCTGTACACTCAGCCCCTTCTTTCGGCTGCCTCTCCAGCCTCCTTCCCCCGTCACCTGTGTGGGAAGTTCTGGTGGGTGCTACAGGTAAGGAGGGAACAGTCCCTGCCATTATGGATCTCACACACTAACCAGGGTCTTAACACAGTGGCTTCCAAACTGTTTTGATCCTGACCTGCAGAAAGAAATACATTGTATATCATTATTTGTTGTACATATTATCTGCAATTTGTAAACAGTTTCACAAAACACTTACTTCTACTATTTATATACATTGATATTTTCTATTCTATTCTATTGCATTTCATTTAATAAATTGATGGTTGAGACCCACTACATTGATTTTGGGATTCATGAGTGTGTTGCATTTCACGGTGTGAAGAACGCTGGTCTAACAGGCATCTTACTGTACTGACCCTCTTCCTAGCTACCAATCTGTGAGCAGGCACTCACCCAACCCTTCTGATGCCTCAGTTTCCCCCTTCTGTACAAAGGGCCTAGGCGTTATTTTAGGAGGGCCAACATGAGTTCATTGGTGCTGGTTTAGCTCTGAAACACTGGACAAGCTCCAGGCCCCCGGCAGGAGGCAGAGAACCACCGCGGCCCCTCCAATCACAGGGCTTCCCCCTTGGGCTCCTGTCTTACAGGCCCTGCCTGTGGGCTCGCCCCGCTGTAACCTGAAGGAGAGTTTGCTGAAGGATAACTGTCCCCTGGAGTCCATCGAGTTCCCCATCAGTGAGGCCAGCATCCTGGAGGCCAGGCCCCTCAGCGACAAGGGCTCTGGAGACAGCTCCCAGATTACTCAAGTCAGTCCCCAGAGGATTGCACTCAGGCTCCGGCCAGGTAGGGATGGGGTTCGTCACAGGGAGAGGCCTCAGACAGATGGGCACAGGGCACAAGGTGGGAGTCTAAGCAGGAAGCCATGGGGGAGGTAGCTCACAATGGAAAGGGGTGGAAGAAGAAAGTTGTTGTGGGAGGTGTGGGCAGGAGAATGGGAGAAAATGGAAGGTGTTGGGACTTGAAGTCAGAAGACCTGAGTTTAAATCTTGACTCTCCCGTGTTAACTATTTGACCTTGGGCAAGCTACTTAACCCTTCTACCAGAGGAGGTACTCAAAAAATGTTTGTTTCTTCTCCCCTCCCTGCATCTCCTAATGCCTGTTTTACTTAGCTCATAGCTTTTCGTTGAGACTCAAATGAGATATAAGATGAGAAAGCAATTTGTAAGCCCCCTTTCCATGTGAGATTACGGCAGTGGCATGGGGGCAGAGGAAATAGGGGCAGAGACCTTCAGAAGGAGGAAGTATTAGGCTAAGAGACAGGCTTTAGGAAGCATTAATTTTGGCTTTCCAATTAAATCCAGAATTTAAGAAATTTCCTTCTACATGCAAGGTGTGTGTAGGGAGCTAGGGATTCAGAGGGGTCGACACAGTTTCTGCCTTTTACAGGAACTGAAATGTAGTGCCTGCCCAAACCTCTGTGACTCAGGGTGGTAGACCTTGGAACTCAGAGGGTTAGATAGACGGACATTTAGAGAGGGTGGAAGATTTTAGAATGGAAAAGAAGAGGTTAGAAATAGGACGGTCCAGAGACTGGAAGAGGAATAGAATTGTAAGGGGAGTGGAGAAGGGAGCAGGGCTTTCAAAGTTGGTTTGATCAAGAAGTTGCTTAATCCCAGCTGTGCCCAAATCCACTTATGAAGTTTTAGAGGGAAAAGAGGAGAAAAACTAACATCCTTCTGCCTTCCAGATGATTCGAAGAATTTCTCCGTCCAAGTCCGGCAGGTGGAGGACTACCCTGTGGACATCTATTACTTGATGGACTTGTCTTACTCCATGAAGGATGATCTGCGGAACATCCAGAACCTGGGTACCCAGCTGGCCTCCCAGATGCGTGAGCTCACCAGTAACCTGCGGATTGGCTTTGGGGCTTTTGTGGACAAGCCCGTGTCACCATACATGTACATCTCCCCCCAAGAGGCCATCAAAAACCCCTGCTATGAGTAAGTCCCTTCTCTAGAAGCCAGGGCAGAATCCCTCCTGTTTGCCCCAGCCAGGTCCAAGTCCGGGTTTTCACTTCTAGCTCTGATGTAGCTTTGTTGCTGCCTTCTGGCCAAATTTCCGCTCTACGCTGGTCTTCCTGTCTGGCAAGCAGGCCAGCCAATTGATTTGGAGTGTTGTGTCAAAAGAATCTGAGGCTGTTTGGAGACCTAGAAAAAAAATTCATCAGCTTCTTGTCCTTGGTACAAATAATTGGAGATAAGAGAGAATGGAAGTGAAATGAGATCAAATGTAGAGTTAAATTCGCAGATAAGTGTATAAAGGAATTACGATTTCGGAAGGATTAAGTCCATTGTTATTGTCAGCATTGTCCTCCTCCTCCTCAACAGTATGAGTCCTACAGGGTTAAAATGCAAGGAATTCAGTCCTAGAAGAATATAAATAAGTGGCCATAGTATTTATTGAGCCCTCTAATAGTCTGTAGGTTGATAAGTGTGCCTCTGTCGACACTTTGGCTTATAACTGAGTGGCTTGTTTATTTAGTTGGTGGGGACTATGCAAATTCACTGGTTATAATATTTTTAATGATGCTTACTGAACCTGACAAAGTATGAGTTTACTTTTTCATTTTTAAAGTTATATAATATGCTTTTCAAACCTTCTGTCTGCATTCATAGGTTCCCCAGTAAATATGTCAGCCACCCATGAAACAAACCACTGGGCTGGGGACAGAAATGCTCCTGTCTGGCACAAAAGTATCAATATGTTGATGGTCCAGGGACATAAAATTATTGATGAACTTTTGCTTTATTGTGTTAAAGTTACTTTAGAGACGTATTCAGTATAAGATGATAACAATAACTATAGCCTCACTCTGATCAAAGTGTTTTACATATATTAACTCATTTAAGCTTCACAACAGTTCTTATAAGATATGTGCTATCATGCTGCATTTTTATAGGTTAGTTACAGAGAAGTTTGCCTAGGGTCCTGTGACTAGTAAGTGGAGGAGCTGAGACTTGAACCCCGGCAGCCTGTTTCCACAGCTCACTCTATACCCTCCAGGCTGGCGGGAGGGGAGGTCTAGGTGATGCCTCAGGTAATTTGAGGGGTTTGGAGTCTGAACTGCCTGGGTAACTGTGGTTGTATGGAACTGGCTGGGCATACCACTGGCCATATTTATCCCTCTCTCGTTTCCTCCTGCTCTCCATCAGGGTATTTGCTTAAATTATCTCCCTCCCTCCCCAGTATGAAGACCACCTGTTTGCCCATGTTTGGCTACAAACATGTGCTGACGCTAACGGACCAGGTGACCCGCTTCAATGAGGAGGTGAAGAAGCAGAGTGTGTCACGGAACCGAGATGCCCCGGAGGGTGGCTTTGATGCCATCATGCAGGCCACAGTGTGTGATGTGAGTTTGGGGTGGCTGATGCAGATCAAAATGGGGAAGGGGGTGGCTCGCCTGTGGGGATTTCTGTGTGAAATAAGACATAGGAACTAAGCAGAGCTTCAGAAAGTCAGAGCAATAAGTCCCTCCTGAAATGTAACCTCTGCTTGTATCCCTGGCCAGAGCTGACATTTCTTTGAATCTTGGCAGTTCCAGATGTTTTCTGGGGAGAGCATTTTCCTACCTTCTCTGGAAGTGTATCAGAATCAAGGCTGGGTTAACTTAACTTCAACAAAGTGGGCAGATGTTCAGATGTTATTTCTTCTAGCCCAGCCCAGCTCTGAGGATGTAGGTGGGTTTCTAGATGGGCCATGTGAGTATCATTGGAAAAATTACATTTGGAGTTGAGGTAGGTGTCTTTGAGCCTCTTGAACTAGTCAGCTCCGAGACTGTTTTCCTAGATAGCAGGAACCCCTGAGTTGGAAAGCTCCAGTTTGTGTTCCAAGGACCGGGACTGAGGCCCTTCTCCAAGACAACCTGCTCAGTCTTTCAGGCAAGGAGGTCCTTGGGTCTCTGTTTTCAACCAATGACATGACTAAAGTTGCTTTCTGTCTTTTGCCTTTTTTTTTTTAAACAGGAGAAGATTGGCTGGAGGAATGATGCTTCCCACTTGTTGGTGTTTACCACTGATGCCAAGACCCATATAGCACTGGATGGAAGGCTGGCAGGCATTGTCCAGCCCAATGATGGGCAGTGTCATGTTGGCAGTGACAACCATTACTCTGCCTCTACTACCATGGTGAGATTCTTGGTACCACTGGGTCCCTGTTTACTACAGCTAAGGATCCTCTGACCCAGGCAGAGTCTTTTTGCGAATATGAAGGTGACAGCCCTTCCTCGGGGCAGGGTGCAGGGCTTGTTTCAGCCTGCCTTCAGCCCCCACCAACTGGACACCCTCATCCATGGTACACCCCGCACGAGCATGAGAAATGGCCCTGGCTGAGGTCAGTGTTACCACTACCCCCACCGCCTCCAGTCCTAGCCCCAGCAGCATAGCCCCCAGAATGGACCGAAGGACTTTCACAGTGCCTTTTGGAAAGCTGGAAGGCAGGCCTTCCTATCTACTGTGCACAAATTAGCCCCTTCTTGAAATACCATGCTCACTTGTGGTTGTTGGAAGAGGACAGAGGGAAACAAGGCAAAGATCACTGAACACCTGGAGAGCCAGTCCATGAGCTCTGTAAGGAAAGGTTAAAGGGCTCAGAGTCACTTAGCCTGAAAGAAAGAAAGCTAAAGGATGACTTAGACATAAGACATGAGAAGACTTCTCTTAAGTTGTTTTCTATGGCTGGAGAAGGTCAAATGAGAGGAAAGGGGTTTAAATTAACAGGAGAAATTGCTATAAGCCATAAAGGACATGTACAGACCCTCAGAATACTATTAATCTGGTATTTGGGGGAGGTGTGAACTCTTCATCTTAAAGACAATAATAGCGACTACCTTGTCTAGGTGGCTTAATGGCACACTGGTGTAAAGACAGGAGCCTAAGCTCATCATGAGCCGGGATGGTCAAGAAAGGCCTCCCGGAGAAGGTGGGGCCTGAGCTGGGTCCTAAGGAAAGACGAGGATTACCAAAAAGAAGACCACTCCATGTGGGAGGAAGGGATGGGCCTCAGTGGTAGGTGGAAGAGGGAGAGGGGTGAATGGTGATTGGAAAGGAAAGCTGAGACCACATGGCGAGGGACTGCGAACCTGTCCAAAGCTGCAAAACAGGAAGGAGCTTCAAAACAACGAGGCTTAACAGTACCTGGCTCGTGGGAGGTTCTCCTTGGTAGGAATGCATCGAATTCTAACAGGAAGAAAGAAGTGCTTGTTTTGTCATCACCAGCCTGTACCTCTCTAACTATCCCCAGAGTTCACAGCTGGGTTTGTGCTACTGCTTAGCCCCTTTCCTCACGTTGATCATAGAGTAAAAAGGTTTAAGCACCACTATCCAGACCATGGCTCAAATCAGCCAAGTTCTAAGGCTTAGAATCCAGGAATATATGTGAATAAACCTCTTAACTAACTGCCACATGCCCCCTTTTTATAGGATTATCCATCCCTAGGGCTGATGACTGAGAAGCTATCCCAGAAAAACATCAATTTGATTTTTGCAGTGACTGAAAATGTAGTCAGACTCTACCAGGTGACTATGCCTTTGGGGTTTCTTAGAGTGGGTGTGGGCCTGCTCAGGGGAACGGTCTGTGCT